GTTTTGTCTTTCGGGTGAACCAGTTTTTGTCTGAGTGTGTTGCTGGGTCTGAAGTACACTGGGTAATCATGCGTGGAGAGAACCCTCCTGAGTTTCTCTGATACACCCGCTACATAGGGGATGACCCTTTGTAGCCATTTGACCGTTAGAACTGAAGAAGCTTCTCGGATGAGAGGTGAAACGTCTTCAAGCAACTCAAAGAAGTCCAGATGCTTTTCTTTCCAAGCTCCTTAGATTCTCTTTTCCAAAGTTAGCAAGGATGGGCTTCATCCACCCTGTGATTCTGAAATAATATACGCCCTTGAAAAAAGAGAAGTGAGTTTTGTTGGTGACAGAGCTGCCGTCTGTCTTGTCGAACTCTGTGCCCTGTTAGCTTGGTAGGGTGCGGCTAACTGAACAGCAGTGTTGGGGAACAAACAGACATGATATTTTTATATCTGTGTTCAGCACATAAGAGATATAATTTTTTTTCAAAAGATCTCAAAAAAGTCATTAAAAAATAATTACAACTTGATCTGACCTGAGAGTTTCCAGTAAACAGTTTGGACTTTTCAGTCCCTCAGACAGAAGCTTCATTCCTGAATCCTGCAGGGTGGTGTTACTCAGGTCCAGCTCTCTTAGACTGGAGGACTGGGAGGCGAGAACTGAGGACAGAGCTTCACAGCTTCTCTCTGTCAAGTTACAGCCATTCATCCTGACGAGACAATAATCAACAAGATTATTTTTTAGATATTGTTTTGTTAGATGTTTTCTCATTATGCATTTAATTACCATCATTACTAAATTCATTTTAAATTTATTCTGCATCGGTTAGCATTTACATATAACTGATACTAGAAAACAAATGGTTTGACTTTAATTATGAGCTAATTGTAACCGCACAAAAGTAATTTATCTCCTCCACTTTCTAAATGGGAAGAACAGAACAACCTGTGTAACAATATCACCTCTAAAGTAGAGGTGATGTTGTTACATTTATTTACAGGAAAACTGGTGGTCTTAAAATGTGTTTTCGTTAAGTTTAAATTCAATGTTCATACATTTCACTTAGAATAAGTTAACATTCATTATATGGTTTGTAAATAGAAGAAAATTACAAAATAGTAGAAAAAGCTATGAGCACTTCAGAAGCAGTCTTATTGTCACGGTCTGCCGGGGCAAGCCGTGTGGTGATTATTTAGGACCCGGAAGCGGCAGCTCTGGTGCAGGTGAGTATTTATTTACAAAAGTAAATA